CGGCCGTGAGCGGGCGGCCCGGCCCGAGTGTTTTTCAGGAGTGAAGGGGCATTTGCTTCTCGCCAGAGAGGAACCTGACACCGTGTAAGATGTGTGGCTCCCGTTCCCGGAGGCTGAGCCTCTGCAGAACGCAAAAGGGGCAAACTAGAAGCCCTGCGGCAAAGGCCGTGGGGCAGCGGCCTGAGAGCCGTGGCTAAGCCAGCTTGCCGCCTGGCAGACAGAGCGAGCAGAACTGTGTTAAGAAAATCCCAGTGGGTGTGTACAGGAGCCTGGAATGATACCGCGAGTGACCGCTTGTCTAAGGGCCCAGTATTGTGGTTTTGGTCATTTTACAGCGGGCGTCACAGCTCCTCCACCTGTTCCCAGCGGCAGGCCCCGGGGAGGACAGGGCGCCCATCCGTCAGTGGAGAAGGTGTGAGCTCCTGTAGTCGGGAGGGGAGCAGGGGAGCCGAGCCCAGACTCCAGGAGGGGGTGCAGAATGGCAAGCCCCCCTTAAATTTAGAGCTGGCAGCTGCAGCCCTTGTTTAGCTTTGCACCCCTGCTCACGTGGAGACGTCAGCATGTCACTGAGGACACGTTTTTTAAATGTAAAATGTCCAGGTTTGATGGTGGCACATGTGGGAGCAATGCCAAAGCTGCCCACCCCAGTGGGCAGAGTAGCCCTGCCCATCCCGCCCACCCCGCCCTACCCAGTGGGCAGAGTAGCCCCGCCCACCTGCAAGGGCCAACTTCCCGCCCAGAAACACCTTTACGGGCAGACAGAGACAGCTACAGTGTCTGAGCACACAAGGTGTGGGGGTGCACGGAGCCTGTAGGCAGGCACAGACACCCCTCACATGCCTTACGGAGGGGGACCATCAGGAGAGGAGGCCGCCTGGCCGGGGTCGGGGGAGGCGCTGCCTACGCCTGTTCCCGGTTGGGGCAGCTGGCGCTCCTGACAGCCTCCGAGGCGGAAAGGAAGCGCAATGAGCGTGACTCCGGCCCCTCGTTCACGCGGTGGCGCCTTAGTTCTGCCCAGACGGCAGCAGCTGAGCTGCCTCCGAACAAGGCCACTGTACCCGTCTATTGAGGGCTGTCTTGCTCCCGAGTTTTGTCATCTCTCCAAGGCTGTTCTGTGACACTCTCCTGTCAGCATCTTCCTGTAGCCCTGAAAGAACGTCCCAGAGAGCACCTTTGGCACGAGGCTTCTGTCGTATGATTATCCAAAGGACGTGAGATAACAGCTCTTGGAGTTAGGGGCGTGTCACCATAAACACTCCTAGGCCACTCCAAACCCCAACGACCCGAGAGCGGGAGCTGTACCTGCAGCATCCGAGCACGGGATGTCCCCGTTCGTGGCTGACGTGACGAGGAACTTCCTGGCGTTGCTCAGCCCCCGGCTGTTGAGGAACACGGGCAGGTGCACGATGTTGCGCATGTAGTCGTGCCCGTTGATGTTGGAGTCCCGGAGCACGCTGTTGAGGTTCTGGTTTATCGCCTTGATGATGATGTGCGGGTCACTTGCGAAAATGGCGATGAACGGGCCTTTGGAAAACAGCACTCGGACCTGCGGCAGAGGAGACCACAGGTCCAATTTTAATGGTCCAGAGCGTTCACAAGGCCTCAGAATCTACTCTCCTTTGGCAACTGTATTGCTAAGACAGCTTTTCATCAAAGTATCATATTCTATGTGAAAGCAAACTTCACTGGCATCGCAGTCTGCTCTGTCAGCACCTCACAGTCATAAGCCTACCAAGAGAACAACTGAAACACCTATTTGCAGACACTCGTGAGGGGTGAGACGGGCACACCTGGGGGAGGCCCGTCCTCGAGCCTGAGGCCAGGCGTCTCTCTCTGCACGCCCCCCCACTACGCCTCCCCAAGAGCGACGTGGAATCAGCCCCGCTGGTCCCCCACATTCACCTCTGACTCTAGCGCAAAACGCCTTCAGGTTCCGGAGCTGCTGCATCTGGGCTTTGTCCTTGCACTGCACTAAGCTACAAGCGCGCACAAGTGCTCGTGGTAACACACTTGCTGTTTCTGATAAGGGCGGCGGCTTCACAGCACCTTCCCCACAGGACCGCCACAGAAGCAAGTTCCAGCCTAACTCACTTGGGTCATTCTGAAAGCCACTCCGCTCAATTGCCCCCTGCGGCCGTTCGCTTCCGGACAGGACGTACCGTGTCCAGCATCTGGAGCACGCGGTCCTGCTCGCAGGCATCCAGTCCGTCGATGATGACCACCAGCCTTGTCTGATTCTGAGTGAAGCTGTCAATGGTCTTTGCCATCCTGGCCATCAGTTCCGCCTCGCACTTCAGAACCTGTGCAAGGCAGGAGATGGCGATGAGGTGAGGTCAGACGGTTCTTAGTCCACAGAAGGCCACCTGCCAGGAGGGAAGAATCCCAAAGCCAGCGGCGCCACCTAAACCTGCCTGAGGCGCCACCGCTCCCCGGAGACTTCAGGCAGCTGCAGCAGCTCAGCCTACGGGCAGCGTCGCCTCTGGTTTGGAGAACAAACTGGGCTGAAGGACATGTGCTGACCGCCAAAGGCCTCGGGCTCACCACACCCCCACCGGCCGCCGGCCCCACGCGACTGCCCGTGGCGCTAAGAGCGCAGCCGCGCTCGTGTTCTGGCCGCCCAGTGTGCACATTCCACCAGGTGCTAGCGGCTGCCTCCTGGGCAGCGAGCGGCTCACCCCTCGGCCTGCCTTTGTCACGTCCGCTTCATGCAAGTGGGCACGTGTCAGCTTTCCGCTATGAATGGCCATTTCCGCCAGGGGCTGCCGCCGCCCGCAGCGCGCCCCGAGGGCCCTGCAGCGGCTCGGCCCGCAACCCCTTCCCGGCCGCGCACTCACCTTCATGAAGCCTTCGCTTTTGAGCTTGTGCAGCTTGGAGGCGGCGCTGTGGAGGCGTTTCCTCTGCGAATTCAGGAGCGAGTCCAGCACCTGCCACCACGTCCGACAGTTGAGCACGAAGGCCAGGCCCACCACGGAGGCGATCGCTATGAGGACAGCGTTGACGGTCAGGTGCTTCGGGTCCACTCTGAAGATAGCCAGGAGCGTGACCCCCGCGATGATGCAGCCGAAGACGAACAGGAAGATCACAAAGGACGGGAGACAACACGTTTTCTTCCATTTCTTTTTCCCTGGGACACGAGAGCTGGTTTTACCAGTTGCCTCACAGCGAGCGTTTAGGAAGCGCTGGCCGTTGCGTCGCAGCCAGGCCTCTGAGCCGGGCTCCCGCCCATCCTCAGCCCACCGCGCACCCCGCGGTCCTACCCTGCGTATCTTCCGTCTTGAACACTCGGAATAGCCTGGTTGCCAAGAAGCCAAACTCTCGTTCACAAGCATCCGAGAGGGTGGCGATCATTTCGGCCATCGACGTCTCCCCGCCGACGCTAGACAGCCTGTTGTAGTCTGTGAACAAAAACCTTGGGGGGGGGGGGGGAGCCGTTACTCACCAGCTAAGGACGTACGCTCCGCATTCATCACCCCGGCCTCCTTCAGAGTTGCTGTATGTCCCTTTCAAGTTATTGTTTTAAAATTCAGAGGGACTAGAACTTGTGACTAGGCATCTTCATAGCGTCCTTAGGAAAAGACGGTAACTGGGCCCTCCCTGGAGGCGCAAGGGGCTGAGGGCGCAGCCCTGTGACGCTTCCTCCGCCACTGCGGTGGGAGTTCCATCCCGGCCAGGCCTCTCCTCCCTCCCCGCTGCCCCCTCAGCAGGGGGTCTCGGTGGATCGCCTGTTCTGCTCCCCACTCTGTCTCTGGGGACTCCTCTTAACCCCCCCCCCGGCACTTCGGGCCTATACCCCCGTTCTTGGCTGCATAAATAAACAAATTAAAAAACAATAAAAAGGAAAAGACAATACCTAGAGCTAAGTGGGGCAGAGCTACGCGCGAGAAACCCTGACCAGAGGCTGAAGGACGAAGAAGCTGAGCAGCGCTCAGACGAGGTATGACACGAGGTCTCAGCGCAGCGCCCCTCGGAAACAGGTGTCACCCAGGTCAGGAGGCGCAAAAGCCAACAGAGAAAGTTCTCGAAGCCCCGAGGAGGAGCTGAGGCCCCGAGGAAGTATTCCCTGCAGGCTCTAGGCGTGGGCTCAGCTTGGAAGCTCCTTTGGGGTGTTCCAGTAACAGCTTTCACATCTGCTAGAAACCCAGGGGTTTCTAAAACAACCAAGAGGTTGCTCTTTTAAATTAACTGAATTATTTGCATTTTGACTCTCTGGAGGCTTGCTTCTGCGTTTCCTTTCTCTCTGCCCCTCTGAAAATTAAGCTCTCAGAGCAGAAGCTCAGACTCGCTTTCAAAACACAGCCCGGGTTGCTGCCGCACCGCCACCCGGCCACACCACTCCCGGCCACATGGCAGCCTCGGAGGGCTCATCGGTGGCTCCAGCTTCCCTGCTCGCTGACTTAGGCCTGTTCTTATTTTCCATAAGCATATTTCATTCTACTGTTTTCATTTTAAGTTTTTTGATGTTTTCTCTGGCTTGGTTTATTTGTCTTCACCTTAAGTTATCTATTTTTTATCTACAATTTTTAAATTCTTAATTTTCAGTCTACATTTATTCTGCTAATTCTTTTTTTTAGACATTTATTTATGTATGCATGCAGACCTGGGGTACAGGCCAGAGGTGACTCCCCAGAGACAGAGCGGGGAGCAGAACAGGCCGGTGGACGAAGTCCACTGTTGAGGGAGCAGCGGGCGGGACATGAGGGGGCTGCCGGGCCCTCGGACCACGGGGCATCGGACTCCTGTTAAAGCAGCCGCGGCCAGCTGCGCCACCAGGGAGGCCCTATTCTGCGAATTCCTATGAATTCCTTTTGCTCCTAACTTGGCTTTTTCCCTTTCATCTCACTGCCCCTCAAGCCCTCCACCACGCACTTGCCTGTTCTAAGGGGCTTTGTCAGACACTCCCTACTGGAGAGGAACAGTATCTTCGGCGGTCCAAATAAGGAAAGAGCAGCTTGGAGGCCCGAGTGCCCCAAGACGTGCCGAGGCCCGCGGCCCTGGGCCCGCCCAGGAGCCAGTGCTCTTCAGAGTGTGGGGCCGCCAGCAGGTGCATGGGGCAGGGGTCATGCTAAACAAAACCTGGTGAGTGGCAGGTAAGCCAACGGCTCTCTAGAGGGAAGTCTCTGCTCCTTAAGAGCGCACGGGAAACAGAATATGAAATGTTTCCCAAATGGATCTGACAGGACATCTTTGTTTAATTTTCATCAAGAGTTGCTAGAACCAACGCTTTTGGCACGAATGCTGAGAAATGACGCATCCGACACTGTTCACGCTTGCTTCATCTTGCTACAGAGCGTCTCTCAGAGGGCCACCTCACCTCACAGGCAGCGCTTTCGTGGTCTGCTCCGGCAGCTCGGGCGGGTTCACAAACATCAGTCTGAGCAGAAGCTCCAAGTAGCCGATGTGTCTCGCCAGCCTCGTGCTGAGCACCCAGGCCCAGTTCCAGCTCTCTCCTTCCCGCCGGCCCCCGAAGTAAATGACAACTGAAATTCACAGTGCAAAGTGCCCGAGAGCGTTAGTCAGCGGGGTCTCTGCTCCCAAGAGTCAAGCGTCACGTAATGACGCGGGCGTACACAGCTTCCATGGTTCCTGACTATTCCCAACTGCTCCTTCGAGAGCTCCTCCATGAATCACAGATTCCTCAGCTAATATACAGGAGGGATGTGAGGAAAGGAAAGAAAACCGGCTATCGTATGACATAAGAAGCACTCAGGAGGGAATGACTTAGGTAGAAACGCCCCCGTAGCTAGACCCAACCGGGAAAGGCTCTGTGCTTATCACGATTTCCAGCCGCTGAAGTGCGAGCTCCCCCAGAGGTAGGTCTGTTCCTTTCTGACAAGAATCCAAGAGTGCAATGCATTTTATTTTTCACTTTGCTTCCTGATAAGTAAAAACTACAGTCGTGACCCCAAGTGCTCAAGAGCTGCCAGAGACGGCGCCGCGGAGCGGTTTCCAAACGCACTCAACCACTGGTGAGTGCACAAACGGGAAACACGGTAAGAAAGCGCCAGTGTTTAAAGCCCCTGGCCGGCGCTCGTCAGGCCACGGATAATGCTCTGCCCAAGGATGAAAACCGCTGCGGCTTCTGCGGAGGGCAGAGGTAACAGCTGAAGTCAAACCCTGAGTCTTGACATTTTCTCCTTTGGGGACGGGCGGCAGCAGAGGCTTACTGAAGAAGATGTACAGGAGAGCCAGGACGCTCAGGGACACGGCGATCCCGAGATTCGGGTCCACGGCGAAGGCGAACAGCAGCCCCAGCCCTCCGCACAGCAGCAGGGTCAGGAACACCATGAGCCACGAGAACTGGAAAAGGGGCTCAATCTGTTGCCCCGCAAAAGTCTTCATCTCATCTGAAAGAGAAATATTTACAGGCGAGCAAGACCTTACTCCTGTTTTAACTCGAAAATCCCAGCGAATGTTCACGCCTTCCACACGGACACGCAGGGGCATGACTGACTCCCTACGCAGAAGGCGCTCCTTGGCCCGTCGGATGTTCCCTGTGACAAGCACAGAAACCTCAGTCCCTAGTGAACTCTGCCCTCTCCTACTGCCTCCAGTTCATACTGAGGAAACACAAAACCCTTGTCACGTATTCCAAGGTCAGGACTGTGGGGATTTCTCTTCCACAGCTTGTATTAGACACGGGAAGTATTATTTCCACACATAAAACCAGGCATCAGGCCCTCCCTGGTGGCGCAGGGGTTAAAGGGCAGCATTGAAGCTGGCAGCAGCCGCTTCAGCTCAGCAGTGGACTCCTTCAGTCGGCCCTTTCTGCTCCCCACGCTGTCTCTGGTGAGTCCGCTCACCCCCTGCACCTCTGGCCTGTACCCCAGTTCTGTGTGCATAAATAAATAAATCTTTAAAAAAAAAAAAAAGACTAGAAATCATTACTTTGCTCTGTCTCTTCAAGCTCCCTGTCACCACCTTCCTCTCTGGCTACCATTTCCTCACCGGGGCCTCTTCCAGTCACACTGAGAATTAGGGGTGTGTGTACTGAGTCCAGTGCAGCCCCAAGCACACTCTTTCTAGAAACTTGGAAAAATTTTCCCAGGCGCCACTGAAACCTGGCCTTGGAAAGTGTGCGGGATTTTGCCAAGCACAGGGTGCGCGTGTGGGCTGGAGCCGCAGGCTAACCAGGACGGCCTGATGAGAGGCGCCCTCCCCCCACCCCCAGAAAGTCTCCGTCTGCCCTAAACCCAGCGTCTCCGTGACTGCAGCACAGAACGCAGAGCCAGGGCGGGCGGCTCGGTGCACACCCACCGCGCCGGGGCCGGGGGGACGGTCACGATGGCTGCAGCGAGCTGCCGCCCAGGCGGTGAGGCACGCGACGGCGCGGCAGGGCTGGGTCGGGCTGCAGAAAGCGCTCACGCGACACGCCGCCGGTCAGCAACCAGGCCAGCTTGCACGCAAGGGCGCAGGGTCCGCCTGGACCCCCAGATACGCGCGTCCTCTGCGCACCGTCGTGCGGCTGCGCCCTCACCTTCCAGCTTCTTGAGCAGGAAGGACTTCCCGCTCCCCCACTGCGCGTACAGCCCCACGCAGATGGGCGGCTGCATGGTGGGCTCGCTGAGGATGTCCGCCAGCGCGCTGCTGTACAGGTCGTAGCCCAGCATGTCGCCGTCGGTCTCGGTGGGCGACAGGTGTCCTGCAAGCAGAGCGCCCACACCCCGTTAGCAAGGGGCAGGCCGCGGAGGACAGCTTCCGTCACATGCACCCCGAGAAACGCCGACGTTAAAGAACCTCCGCAGGTCGAGAGCTTGATCAGGAACGCGGCCCAGCACTTACTGGCTCCGAATATCTGCGTCAAGATGCTTTTCTGGTGGCTGCAGTCGATGTTGTAGGGGGTCTCGCCCGCCTTGTTGGGCCTGTACAGTAACCGGCCATCTTTGGGATTTCGTAGAAGAAGTTCCGCCAGTTTCCGGCTCCTCCCACGAATAGCGATGTGCAGCGGGGTGTCGCCTTTCTATGAGAGAGAGGCGGGAAGCTTGAGCGCTCACGCGAGAGAGCAACAACTGGAGAAAGTCAGAAACCGCCCTATTTTTCACGTGGAGGACCCGCAGGACACGATGTCTACCTTTCCCTGCCCCATAGTTTCTTCGTCTCATCCCTGGCCCAGCTCTTCCTGACACATCGTCCAGCGTCTGGTGGGAGGTGGCTCTTCCCCGCTGCCCACATCACCGAGACAGCAGCGGACTCCTGGCGGCTCCCCGGCCCAGGCCCTCCATCGCAGGTTAGTGGCCTCCACCGGCCAGTACGGCTGGCCTACGCTGCCGCCTGCCCCAACCCACAGTCTTCCTTCCCCGTGTCTGCAGGGCTGCGGGCCCGGGCTGAGAGCCCATCCCACACGAGTGAGCCCACCGGCGCTCGGCCCCTGTCGCCTGCCACTGCCACGCCGAGCCTCCCGCTCTCATGCACGGAGAGTGGCCGCCCTGGGCCCACAGCCCGCCGCGCCGTCCCTAATGCCAACCTGCCATCTCCCTGTGGTAGGCCCCGTCACGTGGTGTTATCTCTGACACTAAAGAGAGTGTAAGAAAGGAAAAACGCTTCCGCCGGTCCTGTCAATTCACTCCGCACGCCCTTGCGGGAAGCCACGTGGGCCAGACTAGCGACTCACCCCGCTCCTCATCTCACCGCTCTCTCTCTCTAGCTCAAAATGAAGTGGCCCGCACAGTCCTGCGCAGTTTCTAGGACCTTGTGTTGATCTTGACTTTCCTCTTCTTCCTCGGGTCCGTTTCTTCCCTTTCTACGTTCTCTTCCTACAGCCTGAACCTCTAAACATGACACAAGGGCGAGTGGGGTTCCGAGCCATGAGGCACTCACTGGGGGACGTCCCGAGGGACAAGCCTCGGACGCTGCCAGTGCAGCGGGAGGGAGGCAGAAGATAAGCGCAGTTAGGAAACTCGCAGGACACAGCCGGGGAGAAGGGAAGCTGCAGCCTCGTCGTCGCAAAGGCTCTCGCGGTGGCCGACTGCCCAGGCCGCGGCGGCTCTCGCCCCTCACCTCAGCCTCGCCTCACGCCCCCTGGGTCTACTGGCCTCTGCCTCCGATGCCTCTTCAGCCCTTGAGCCAAACACATCTAAGCTGGGTCTCGTCTTATTTCCTCAGCTCAACCCCATTTCTCACCTCCCAACCCGTGAGAAGGCAAAAATAGCATCACGGGTACTTCTGCCACCTAACAAAACTTCCGGAAAGACATGCAGTCACCCGTCAACACGCTGCGGATAAGCAGCGGCGGCGGCCAGGGGGAGTCTGACCACCTCACTCCGACCCTCCCTTGAAGAGCCGGGTCAAGACTTCTACACATTTGGATCTCCACGCCTGGCCTCCCCTGGGGTATGTGGTGCGTGAATGAGCCCCTGTTCCGCGTGAACTGGCCAGACGAGCAACACGCAATGACACCAGGCCTGCCTGAGCGGGAGCCGCGAAAGGCTCGCAGGGAAAGAGCTGCGCAAGTTTTCGCTTTGTATGTGAGTGACCCGCCTTCCCGGGGAATCGGCTGGAAAGCAAGGAGCCGATTTAAAGTGAAAACAAACTGAAACCAAGAATCAGTTCTAGGTGAGCTATTGAGCAATTTAAATTTAGTTCAGAAAGACGGAAATTCCTTTCAAAGGAGGGCGGTGAAGACATGGCAGCACTTCCTCTCCTGCTAGTGAAGCACAAACGCCAGCCCGCTCTGAGGCCCCGGCCCGGGCACTCGCCCCGCTCTCTGCACACGCGCCGGCCCCGGGCCCGCCTCCCCGGCGTGGCGACTGGCAGCCCCGCCCCAGAACGACACCAGAAGGAGCCGGAGTCCCTGCAGCAGGGACTCGGTGTGCCCGGTCCTCAGCACGAAGGAGAACCGTCCGGGAAATGTCCGCCCCACACATAAAAAGTCACCACAAACAATCTCTCCCTCCGGGAAACAGAACCAGAGCCGTGCAACCCAGCTGACTCCTCTCCGCTGCTGTACCTTATCTATGGCAGAGACCTTCGCGCCTTTATCTAGCAGCAGCTCGACCACTTCAATATTCCTCATCTTGGTGGCCTTTATGAGCGGCGTCTCACCGTCCTGCGGGCAGATCAGAAGGCAGCAGTCAATGACTCCCACAGGCTTAACGTCATAAAAATGCATGGGGCAGTTTAGACAACCAATTCTGGGACCAGTCTAAGGTGAAAATATTCACAAGCAAACAGAGTCTTAAAACCCAGAAGGAAAAGCGCTGCCTTTTCTGGCCGCCCAGTGCTTCACACCAGTCCTCGTCCGTCACTCAGCCGAGGCTGCGCACCCAGCTACTTGCTGGCCCCTGGCTCAGGCCCCTCCCCTGCTGCCTCTGGGGCACCACCCAGCTGCAGCCCAGCCCGGGTCTAGAAAAGCTGGGTCCAGACGTCCAGAAGTGGACAGCTGCTGCGCTCAGTTCTGTGCACCGAGGGCCCACGAGTGACCAAGGACCCAGCGTGGCCGGCAGTGCACCCTGGGAAACCTCAGGAGCCTGCGAGTGCGCTCAACATCGACGTGAGGAGACAGGGAGCCCGCGGGTCACACTGAACTAAGAAGCAGGAGAGCCAGCAGGAGCCGCAGAGGGACAGTGGCAGCCCGCGGCGCGAAAGGAACAGAAACGGCCAAGCAGCCGCCTGCAGACGAGGGCTCCCGGGACCCCCGGGACCCCCGGGACCCCGCCGCCCGACGTGAGGGCTGCGCCAGGCGGAGAGGCTGGGCCAGGTGTCCAGTGGGCAACTGTGGTTCGCGGTGTTCATCAGGGTCTCTGAAGTGCCGTCCAGACTTGGAATATCTCCCCATGGAAAACTAGTCCACTTCAGGCCAGACACAATCACTGAGTCTCATGCAGTGGCTGACTGGAGAGCCAATAACCACTCTTAAGGGTCTTTTCACAGAAAACGGACGTTTTGGACAAAGGGCCATAGCAAGAGCCCGGGGAGATCATCTGCCCACAACTAAGGCTTGATACTGAATTTCCTGAAGGCACAAAACCGAATTAACAAATGACATACACAGGCAGCTCCGGGTCGCCCGCTTTAACACAGACGTTAGGGCGAGGCCGGCGTGACCCTACTAGCAACCAGGGCGGCCGAGAGCCCCGAGACGCGTCTGGCGCCCCACCTTGGTGCAGATCTCCGTGTCGGGGTTGCACTGCAGGATGTCTCGCACCATCGCTGCGTTTCCTTTCTCCACTGCCCAGTACAGAGCGGTCTTGTTGTCCTGCATAACAGAAAAGCAACGATCACTTCCTCTAAGGTACAATGTTAAAGCTGCTGCTGTCCACATGGAACTCCGCAGCAACAATCGTCAGAAACCACTCACGGATCTCACCAGCAGGCAGCGCCCTGGGGAAAGGGAGGATCCTGTTCAAGCCTCGATTCACTGTGAGCGAGTCCCCTCGAAGGCGGCCCGGGCACCACCCCCAGGGCAGCACGGGGCCCACCCACCCGCCGACCAGGCACAGGCCCCGGGCGGCACACTGGGAAAACTGAGTGGACACCTGGATGGTTCAAAAGCAAAATGGGGCAGCAGCCAGCACAGACTCTTTTCAATCTAAATTTCTTGAAATAGTGGCTGTATTCATAACCTTCAAGACACTTTCAAATTACCGACACAGCTGAGTTACGACTGCTGCAGTAGTCACGGGACAGGCGAGCGAAATGGGGAAAACGAAGGATGAGATACGCGAACAAGGCGAACAAGGTACAGCCGGAGGCAGGAAAACACTGACCAGAACGAGTGAGTCCCGTACAGAGGGCCACCGTCGAGGCAGCCTAAGCTGTCAGCTGCTCACTCACGAGCGAGTTTATGTCCACAGCAGACGGGGGCATTTTAAAAACATGGGCGACTTTCAGTTTAGTGCTATAAACCTGACATGAATACAGAAATTCCGTAACAGGACTTCAAATTTTAACAACCCAGGCGCCCACGAAATGCACTGGTGTTCCCTAGCTCATCTCCGCCCCAGGCGGGAGAACGACCTGGCCGGCTCCACGCGGCACACAACCAAACTCCCTGCATGGCGCAGTACCTGTCCTCTGATGTCTATGTCAGCGTATTTCTGAAGCAGGGCACGGACGATTTCCACATGACCGCCTCTGACGGCGCCAATCAGGACGGTGTCCCCGCTCTAAGGAGACAAAACACAGGGTCTGGTGAGAACTGACAGTGCCCTGTTGACGTCTGGTCATTTACCAACAGGTCGTCTCTGCATATTTCTCGGACAAAGAATTTAATAAAAGGTTAGTTAGTATTAGAGCTTGCTATGACTAGCCCTGGAGTAAGAGACAAAGGGCTTTCACTCTGGAATCGCAGAACACACGCAGAACACGAAGTGATGGCTCTGGAGGCCACCTCCGCACACAAAGGAAATAAAGTGGCAGTGCGGTTGACAAAGAACTAGGTGAACATTTGGAAGCCACACCACACAATCTTGGGAAAGTGCTGAGGAGGACAGGCTCGGGAGAGGGGGGTCGTAGCGTCAGAGCCGTAGCGGGGCTCTCCCCACAACCAAGGGGACGGGGGGGGGGGCAGCCAGGCCGGCATCCACGCACCAGTGGCAGCGCGGCTAGTGGCCGAGACCGACTCGGTCCCAGCATGAGACGAAGGCGAAGTCACTCACAGGGCCTCCCTTTGCCCCGAAATTACCCTCACCCAACAACTCCCTGTCAATTGTATCTTCCCCCTACTTCAAACACCGCCAAGGGGCATTTTGGCAATGGGCATAAATTTTTTTTTATCTACTGCTGAAGTACAAATCAGCTGCAAGGACTTGGCTGGGTACATCCACGAGTGTTGCCCCCTGTTGGGCCCCAACAGACGAGACATCAAGACGCAGGTCCTTGAGGACTACTAAGTCTAGCACCCCTGGGTAGCGTCTCGGCTAATACCTTCAAAGCAGAATGAACCGAGGGAAACAAATTTCCCCTGAGATGAGGTTAATGGTAACACGGTCCAGACGAGTAAATGAATGGGCAGTAAACTGCTTGCTACGTGCCAGGCACGGTCCCAGCGCTGGGACGCAAGACGGACCTCACCTCAGCTCTGGGAAAACGAGTCTAGAGGCAAAGGCGATGTGTGTATGCCGAAACACAGTGACGTGCCGGGGTAGCCAGCCACGGCGGGCCGGGCGCAGAAGCCCCTGAGGCAGCCACTGCGAGCTGAGATGGGAGTGACAAGGAGCAGCCAGCAGCCACGGCAATGCAAAGACCAGTACTCCAGACAGACCCGCAGGCAGCAACCAGCAGGGTGTTCTAGAAAGCAAGGGAAACTGTGTGGCCGGGACCTATTCAGACCTTGTAGAAGCGGAACGAAGGAGGACAAGCAGTGAGTCTGGCACAATGTCCTGTAGTGCTAATAAAGGCGGCATCTGCCCCATGTGCGAGGACGCAGGCGTACACGGGACATCCATCGCTTTGGCCATCATGCTGAGAACCGCGAGGCGCGAGGCCCCGCCGCGCGCTACCGCCAGCCCGGGCGGCGCAGCCAGCGCTGGTTAGCGCCACCCCGCCGCAGGCGCGGCCCGGGCCGCTTCAACCTGCTGAGACTGAAGGGTGGCCTGGGAGCTCAGGGCAGCAGACGTTACCTACTTTGTCTCAGCGAACCCTCACGACAACTCCAACAACCCAGTAGCACCCGGCAGTAGTTTGACAGGGATTTTAGAGTTGAAACAATTTGACCCAGTTGTCTACCATAAAATCTGGCCCATAAGGCCACTTACAAGTTAGTTTCGGGCCGCCCTGGTGGCCCAGAGGTTAAGTCTCAGCGCTGTGGCCTGAGTGCGATCCCCGGCCAGGGAGGGGCCCCAGGGCGCAGCAGGCCTCTCCTGGCTCCCCTCAGCAGTGGATTCCAGTAGATCTGCCTGTTCTGCTCCCCACTCTGTCACTGGGGAGCCCTTTTACACACAACCCCCTTCACCCCCGGCCTACATCCAGTTCTTCTATGCAAAAATAAACTGAAATTTTTTGAAGTTAGTTTCCTTCCCTGTCGTGTGCAAGTACATAAGGTCCCTTGTTCCAGACAGTAAAATGCACTGTAGCTGTTTACTTACTTATACTTGTCTTGGTCTTAATAAACTGATCACCTGGGGCTTTTTATTTTGAATATGCTGTTGTTATAACAACGGGAGATGGCCGTTGGGGCGAGAGTTGACAGTGGAAAACAAAAGAAGTGGACAGGAGAAGGAGGTAGCGTTGGCGGAACGAGCCAGAGAATGAGATGCGGAGGGAGAGACCGGCCCGGTGCAGATCTGGGCGCTAGCGACAGGGCGGCGGTGCCTTCACCAGATGAGAGGACCGAGGGGAACAGAGCGGGCTGCAGCAAGCACAGCGGGTTTGCGGGAGCGTGAGCGCCCGTCAGACACTCAGGTGCAGTTCTGAGGAGGGGCGAAGAGAGCCAGGGAGCTGGAAGGCTGCAGGTGGGGCCGAGAGCCTGGGAACAGCCAAGGCCCAGCCAAGTCAGAGGCGCGACTCCGCCAGGGACCGCACGGCCGGCAGCACATTTCAGCAACTAGGACTGACGGAAACTGAAAGCAGCGCGGCCCCTCACAAACGTCAAGGGCTCTAGCCTGACAGTTAGCTCACAGCTCTCACTAGTTCTCCAGGTAGAAATGAAACCTATTGGAAACAACATATGCCATGCACGAGCCATCCTGAAAGGGCGGGCCGTGAGCAGGCGGCGGCCCTCAGGGTCGGCGAGAAGACCCGCGCGCGGGCCCACCCTGTCAGGGATGTTCACGTATGTCCCGGCGTCCAGCAGGTCCTGCACGATCTCCGTGTGCCCCTCCTTCGACGCGATCATCAGGGCCGTGTTGCCGTCCTTGTCGGTCAGGTTCACGTTGGGGTTCCGCTTCAGGATCTCCTTCACCGACTGGGTGTAGCCGCCTCTCACTGCCACGATGAGCGCGGTCATTGAGTTCTGGAAAGCAAACCCAACGCGAGGAATCCATAAAGCCGGAAAGACATGAGACGCAGGCCCCCAAGCAGGGTCTGCAGACAGGCAGCCCGTTAACGGTAAGTTCTAGCCCAAACAGTGGCCCGAATAACCGAACAGCAAAAGGCCGGGACGCCGTTTCCCACGGCTGCAGGCGCAGGAGCGCTCCCAGGGCACGAGGGTGCTGCGACACGAGCTCCCTCAAATGGCGAACTAGGCTGGACTCGTCGGCCGCGAACAGGCCCTCCTGCGGCCGCGCAAAGTGCCAGCAGTTACCGAATGGCCCAAAACGGAACCTGACCTAAACCACATAGTCCGATCTTCAAAGAACTTCGTAACAAAATAAAATCTAGAGGAAAAGCTGAAGAAAGCAATGAAATAGCAGCTACGGGCACATGAGTGAGTGGAATATATTCTACCTTTCCTAGTGGTCTGGACCCCACATTTGCAAGACCCTTGTTTTTTGTGGTTCTTTTTAAAACAGCAGTCTCTATTACAAAAAATCAGCTGTACAAGAGGCCAACTTTCACTGTCGGCGGCGCTCAGAGACCAGCCACCCTTCGGAAGGAGGCGCGACACTTCAGCGGCTCGGAGGCGGTCGCCTCCCGGACTCCTAAGCCACGACACTTCTGGCAGCTCAGCGCTTAGCGGCTTCTGCCCGTGCGGAGCTAGGAGAGACGGGCTGAGCGCCCGCGAGGGGCCCTGGGGTCGCGCTGGCGCCAGGCGAGCCGGGAGCTGCACGGCCCGGCTCTCGCGGTGACACGACTACGCAAAAGCGGCTGGACTGTCTCTTGCACGCAGCGCGTCTCCTTTAACCACACTCTTCCGCGCCTCGGGGAGAAGCGGCGGCTTCGCGGTCAGCGCCCCCCGCACGCGGGCAGCAGGGGGACTGGGAGCCGCCAGCCCCTCAGCGGGGGCGAACCCGGTTTTAAGCTTTCTAGGCTGTGACTGCCGATTTGCGGTATCTTTATCTGTCTACTGGGGAAGGAACGTGTCTTAACTAGAAATATAAAAAAAATGAGCTTTTAAAGAGAAAGTATTTCATAGAGCATGACTTTTTGCCAGTTAACAATATTTCAAGCTACTTGGTTTGGCGAGTATTTCAATTTCTGCTAACAGTACTAAACGATGTTCTTTATAGTTTCAGCCTCCCCAAATTTGTATGCATGAGCAATAAACCCTTTAAAACAGGTATTTGTAGTATACATTACCTATAAGCTATAAAATTGTATCTATTTTCTGGATCTATGTAATATATCTATCAGGATAACAGAAAGAAAATGTTTGTCTTCCAAGTTTGTCTTTAAGAACAGTGGGGAGGCTTTCCAGGCACAGACTAAGGAAACTCTTACCTCTTAAAACTCAAAACATCCCGGCACTACCGCGGTTAGAACAGAAAAGATACTTACCGCCCCCTCTTGGTCAACATCGGCTCCCATGGCCAACAAATGCTTCACACATTCCAGATGGCCTTTCCGGGCGGCCCACACCAGCGGGGTCGTTCCATACTGTTAAAACAAGCAACGAATTCCTTTTTGGAGGTTACTGAAAGAAACAAGCTCTCAACCTAACTTTGACAGCAATCGCACGTTGAGTAGCCTAAGATTACTCTTCACAGTGATCATAGCTCGAATCTAAATAAACCTCCAGTTCTTCTGCGTAGGTGACTAACCACTGTATGAAATGTCTGTTAGCCAACTAACAGTTTTGTAGTTAGTGAGAAGTTTTCCATCAGAAAGTCACATAGCCTTTAATTTGCAACAACTATTGCTGTTTCTCAGACCCTGTGAAACACACTTGAAACTCCAGCAGTGTGCTGACAGGAAAAACAGTCACGAGCACCCAACATTGTTCTGCCTTCTTTCGAGGGGCTAGCTCACGTAATACCCAGGACCAGGGAAACTCCCAACTCCACGTCCGCAGAGGTACGCGGGCCAAGTCTACAAATCAAACATCCCCCCACATCTTCACACTGTGCTTCATTCTCTCCTACTACAAACTCAACGAGGTTTCCCCTAGTCTTAAAGAAAAGAAAAACTCTTCCCACAAGTTATGCTCCTCAAGTACTTTCAGACTTGCAAAATAACTTAGACTGACTACTTCAGACTCCATCCCACACCAGCTTGAGGCCGAGCGCGCTCGATGAACAGGAGAGCCCACTCTCCCCGGCTGCCAGCAGCCGCCTCAACACCACGTCACGGCTCTTTCTCTCGGGACTCGCTCCCGCCTGAGAGCTCTGCACTGCTGCGTCACTCCAGCCGTTTCCACCTTGACCTCAGACGCCTTAGTCCTCTTTGACTCTTCACCCTACCCTCTGCCTGGGTAGAGCCGCCGTAATCAGCGCTTCAGCCGCCACTCACCGCTACGGGTCTCGGCTAGCGACGGCTCTCGTGGTCCCCGTCACCTCCAGTCAGAATCTCATGTCCCCATCTAGCCGGACACCTCAACCACAGGTGCCACCACTGCCACGTCAGCACGTCTAAAACTGACCGCCTGTCCCTTTGCTAAAAAGTCAGCTCCCACGGAACCGTCTATTTGTTAGCAATAAAATGATTCTCTCTCTCTTCAACCCTCCCACACTGCACTACTCAACAGTGATTCTTTCTCTAAGACACCACCCAGGGTCAATCTACTACAGTGACCCCAGGACAAATGTCCAGTCTCCCGGGGCGGGACTTCAAGGGCCCCTCCGGTGGCCCCACCTCAGGCCAGGCTTCCTTCCTCACACTCCCCAAGCTCCGGGCTCTGCCCTTGAGTCGGCTCAGCCCGCTGGGCGCCACGGCCCCTTGCTCTTCCTGGGCCGTGCATAGCCCTGTACCCTCCCCGTGGAGTGCACGCTTCCCACCCTCGCAGGGAGCGCGGCGTCTCATTCTGTCACGCTGGAACCAACGTTCAGCCACCGGCCAACTCCGCAGTTACTCGCTCCTCAGCCTTACAGACTGAGGTCCACTTACGCCCTGCTTCCTCAGTCACGTTCCCATCTAATTCGCTCTTACCTTCTGTGTTTATACTGATGAAGGCCCCGCACACCTGAGAAAATGCACGGAACATTTCTCAGAAAACATGGGCTGGTAGAGCAGGGACTGTTTCTGGGGCCTCTTGAGGGACAGGTTACAGAGAAACATCCCTCAGGGACCCAAAAGAAGAAATGAAAGAAAGATTTCTCCATCATGATGAAGTGCAGAGATCGGAGCCGCCGACGGGAAGCCCCCCTGCACTTGAGACTGGGCCTCCCCGATCTGAGCCCCAAGAGTGACATGGCTTCGGGTTGGTGAAGAGTCCTAAATGCACTATTTTGAAATGCCACTAATACTTGCGATAGTCTCTGCACAGTTCTCATTAAGCAATTATTTGAAGAGATACTATGCTTATATGAGGCACGGGTATGAAAAATACTTCTTAAAAAATAAAGCTGATGAGGACCACTTGGTTTTCTACACGTGCATAACCCATATAACCCCTACATGTACCAAGAAAAGGATGACTGCCGATGCTCTCGTAAGGTTAGGCAACACTATTTTACTAAAATTTATGTTCAGAATGTACTCCGATTAGGAAAGTCTACTAAGAGCTTTTCCCTAGACTTTGCTAAACTGTCAGTGTGAAGAGTGTGACGGAAAGAAAATACTGTGAGGAATCTGAAGAACCACGACACCCACAATGCGTCAGGCTCTAAGGCAGTCGGAATCACGGAGGACAAAATGAACAAAGAAGTATTTCTTACTTTCAACAAACTTACACTTTTAAAAGGTAACATCTCCACTGAACCTTGAAAAAATAAATAGGATTCTATCAGGCAGAGGAGGTAATGCCATTCCCAGCAGAGGGAACGGAGAAGACAAAGACACAGCCTTCCCAGAAACGCATGGAAGCTCACAGGACGGGAGGCACAGAGTATCTGCACAGAAATGGCAAGAAGTGACGCCAGGAAGACAGGCCAAAGTCCACCAAAGAGTGTGCGCTGCCCTGGACAGTGGAAGCCAGCAAGCTGTCCACAGCAAGAAAGAATGACAATATGAAATAAGCACTGTGGAATGCTGGGAAAGAACACAAAAGATAAAAACAAAAAAACCCACTAGAACAAATCCTGGCTGCAGATGAACAAGCATGAAGAGTAGCTGGAGGCCAAAGCAGGTGCAGAGAAGGACCCACGAAGCGCAAGCGCACAAAGCCACGGAAGGGTGACAAGCAAATGAACTCGGGGCCAACATCTTTTGATAGTCTGGCCTGCCGGGCAGTTCTGGGGTACAGATAGGAGAAGGGCAGAAGGTGCACACCCCAGAAATCCAAGCTTTTAGGATTTTAAGCGCAAGAGGGAGAGACCTGAACTTGGCCCTCGAAGGACTGCTCGGGCAGCGCAGCAGGAAGCAGACAGGGCAAGAGCCCCCGCCAGCTTCAAATCACCGCACAGGGGTTCACCCGGCGGCTTTGCTGAGAACGAGGACTGTGAACAAGACCGAACAGAGAGCGGAAGGACACGCGGCGCAGCAGGGACCAGCTCGGCGCGAGGTGGCTCAGGAAACACCGGGCGTGCGCAGACGACGGCAGCCCGAAGCGGCTCCTGCCGCAGGTAACTCACGCCGCGACGCCCACCTTGTCGGAGCAGTTGACTTTCGCGCCATTCTGCAGCAGGAGGTGCACGATGTCCGCGTGGCCTCTCCCCGCCGCCCAGATGATGGGGTAAACACCGTACTGCTGGGAGGCAGGCAGGAGGGACGGCAGTGGGGGAGGGGAGGGGGGAGAGAAAAAACCTTTTAGGTGGGTGTTTGCATCAGCCTTGGCTGAGGCAAGTCCATACCCAAGTCACGCAAACGCTTTTTAAAAATACAAATATTTCCGTGCCATTCTCCACTCTAAAAACACATCTAGTACTCCAGAACATAACTGTAACTAAAGTACACTCAACTTTAAACAAACACCCAGTATGAGCCCGCTGCACACTTAGCGCCATCAGCCAACAGGTCAGGCGAGTAAGAGGAAAGTAAAACCTCTCATTAATTTGAGTATTTGTTTCAGTTTGATTGAGGCATGACTGACAAATAAGACTGCAAGATATTAAATTGCACGAGGTTAATGATTTGATACACAGAAGCATTATGAAAGCCCCCAGCCCCCCCCAGCCCCACTCTACAGACTGAGGTGAGGCTTGGCGCAGGCCTGTGTGACCATCTGCAAGAGTGGGCAGAAAAATGGCATAGATCACAGGTGACTCTCTCTTTCGAGAGGTTTACATTAAGAACACGTGCCCACAAACACAAAGAAGACTTCAGGATTTCAAAATGGACTTCGGACGTGTTATAGATCTAAAATTAACATTTGACGACCTAGGGGCTGCCCTTTCTCCCCTTCATCTTTTATTTATTTATGTATTTATTTTAACATAATAGCTTATTTTTACATCATCTGTGCCTTTGCCTTTCTCAGTTGCGATCCCCGTGGGCTTCCCATCCCATCACCCGTGTGCCGTCACCACAGTCCCGTGCACTCCCCATTTTTGATCTAGGGGCTGCCTTTTTATTAACAAAGATTACTAAATAAACTAGCTTGAGAAGAAAGTCCTCACTGTGTTTTGAAGTCACATTCTGCGTGAGTATTTTTAACAGGCTCTGGACCGTTCTGTCCACCGCGGCTCTCGTGACGCTTACCAGACCAGTGACGCTCGGGTTGGCACCGTGAGAAAGCAGCAATTCCACCACGTCGGTGCGGCCTTTGTAACACGCCCACATCAGAGCTGTCCATCCTCCCTGGAAGAGAAACAATGGCGGGACATGAGCCTGGCTCCTACCCGACACAAAAGGCCACGCAGCGACGCTCCGTCTGTGAACAGCCTTTGTGAAACCACTGTTTGTGCCGGGCCACTAGGTAGCTTCAGCCCCATGTTTCCCAGAGAGACGCACAGCAGGGCCCAGACGAGTGAGTCCCGCTGTTCGGTCCACAAGTGATTCCGTCAAAGCGTGAGCCCCCGACCCGTGCGCCCGACCCCGGGAGCTGAGACGGTAAGTGCGCGGCCTCTTCCCCGCTTCCAGGGCGTGCCCGGGCTCTGAAAATATTTTCTTCAGCCAACTTTCTGTCCCCTGGATGTGTTCCTCCTTGTAGAAGTCTAGACGTTTTCCAGAGGGAGAGCCCAGCCATCATAATCAGCTCCTGCACCCACGCGCCTGAGAAACTCCGGATCGCCCGGCCCCTCGTGCTTAACAAGAAAGGCTGCGTAGTTCAGCCGCCAGAACTCGCACTGCCAGGCTGCAGAAGTAATCGTCTCTTTAGCTGTAAAGCAATTCGGAGCAAGGGACCGATGTAACCAAAATACTAAGAATGACCGTTTTCTCGGTTTCATAAAATCGCTTTGAGGGGGGGAAATCCATATTTGCTTCTCAGAATCTGCATGGTTCTGTTTCCTCATCACTAAAAAAGAGACAGCTTGCCCTAATCTGGAAAAGGCGAAGCTTCAGGAGAAGAGACGGGCCCGGGAGGAGGCAGAGGCGCTGCTGAAGGCGCGCAGGGGTAGAGCTGACGCCCGTGGACTGCAGGCTCGCCACCCCCGCTGGCCGACACCTCAGCAGCGGACTCTCAGGGCGGATCCACTGGATGTGGAGTTGCAAAGCCCAGCAGAGTGCGGGGAGCCAGCGTACGCCTGCGCTGCGCACGCCCACGCTACGGTAGGCGAAGCCCACAGCCACCCATTACTTAGAAGCAGCACCCTGACTTCCGGCTGGAAACTCAGCAGCACTGTCCACCGCCCTTGGTGACTCTGTGTCCCTCGGGACGTGCAGATTAGAAAGTCGACGCCCAGCTTCCGTGTGTACCAGAGTTCAGCAGAACTAGTAAGAGTCAGATCTCTCCGCAGAGACAAATGCAGGCGAAGACTGGCCGGTGATCCCCGCGGGGCCTCTTGCCGACCAGAACAGCAGCAGGTGCGACACAGGGCAGCGGGCATGTCCGTGTCCCTGCCGCACCTGACCTCACCCCTGAGCGTCTCTGTAAGCTGCGCCCAGGAACAAGAAGCAAATCCCACCGGCGGTTAGCGCCATTTCCCGGTAAGAGGAAGGAGCCAAGGGCCCTGGAAAGTGACGGGCTCCAGGGCCGACCGAGGCAACAAGCCAGCGAGATACAAGCCGAAGCACAGGGTGCCCGAAGCACCTGGTGGCCACACAGGTTAGAAGGTGCTTAAAAAAGAGGACAGGGCACCCTGAATATCTGGAAAGGGCACAGAGGCTGAGAAGGCTGAGAAGGCTCCCAAGAGCCAGCACTGTAACAACTTGAGCAGAAAAACAGACAAGGATGTAAAAGAGAAAAACTGAGCCAGAGACAAAGTAAAATAAAATAACTCTTGCTTACAGAAAAAAACCATGTGGGGCCCTCCCTGGTGGCGCAGCGGGTTAAAGCACAGCACTGAGAATCTAAAGCCGCCTCCGCGTGAGTTCAATCCCTGTCTGCCCCGGAGGCGATCCACATGGCGAGGCAGACCTCTCCTGACCCGCCCGCTGCTCCCCTCAGCAGTGGACTTCCTCGATCTGCCTGTTCTGCTCCCCACTCTGTCTCTGGTGAAGCCTCTCACCGCCCCTGAACCTCTGGCCTGTACCCCAGTTCTGTATGCACAAATAAATACATCTTTAAAAAAAAACAAAAAAACACCATGTGGATGCTCATGTAAATCGGTCTCACCAAGACACCACCTTCGTAAAGGCTCACAGCAGTGTCTCCAAACGGTCGTTTCAAAGGCAGAAGCGTCATCACATGGCGGGGCCTGGAGAGCAGGGTTAGCACGCACAGCCCGCTGACACCACGGCCCCGGTGCGCCGCCTCCCGGCAGGCACCACTCAGTGCGACGGGCCAGAGCAGACCGTCAAGGGAAACTTCCAAGGCGTCACGGCCCAAGAGGTGAGGGAGGCTGGCGGTGCATCCCCAGGTCAAAGGACAGCGTTGGGCGTCCGTTGCAGCCAGGGCCGCCCACAGCAACATCCGGCACCCGGAATGCCCAGGGCTGCCTTGACCTCAAGCACTCCCTCGGACCTGCAGAATGTGGCCCCAGGCAGCAATTCTGAGGTTCAAATGTCATCTGGAGAAGCTATGTCCGGACTCGCAAGGTGACAAGATTGGAACCCACTGCCCACAGCAGCAACCACAGCCCGGTGCCCTGTCCGGCACTTGGGGGGGGGGGCAGGGGGCTTCTCCCGCCCCTTCCTGCCGTCCCACGCTGAAACTTGTCTGCAGCCCAAGGACCCATGTTGACCCTCCTTACCCAGCCCCAGGGAGCTTCCCTCGCAGCTCCCACCGGCTTCTGAGGTCGGGGCCCTCAGTCCTAACTACTGACGGAGACATGGCCCCAGAGCCCCCACGTTCTGGTGCGTTCTTCACAAATTCTTGGTGTTTTAAAGCCAAACGCAAAGATACTTTATATAGCAACAGGTGTAGTGATGATTACTTTGGGAAAACAGAACCAGAAATGCTGAAGGGATCATTTTTGACCCGTTTTACTAGACTTCTACACATCTGCAGCGCCAATCTTCTCGGCCTAAGCTGGTGTGCCCAGTGGCCCGGGAGAAAGCCTCTGAGGAGGGCAGGTCTGGGTCCGACTCGGCGCTCAGGCTGAGGACTGCCGGGCACAGAGCGCTTCCTAAGTCTGTTTCCTGAGCTACAGGCTTTAAAACAGAGAGCTGAGAACAGAGAGCTGTTCTGAGAAGCCACCCAGCGAGAGGAAGGCTGTACACAGCCGACACGGTCAGGACAGGAGCCTCGTCCTATAATGTGGGGATGAAGGGCTGAGGGACCCTCCGAAAGCTCGGGGCGAGGCGCCTGCGCAGCCGTACAACCCCGACACCCCGTGCACCGCACCCCGCTCCCTGGCCGCAGCTACTGGCTTCCCTGCCTTCACAGCCAATATACTTCAATTTCTTTTCAAAAATAGGTAAGATATGAGTGGTCTTGTATCGCCCCATGAAAGCAAGTACACAGCCCTCTGTGCTCAAGTTTTAAGAGCAAATACAAAATTATGGAGGCAAAACGCTGTGTAAATTACAGTGTGCAGCATGACGTTGAGCAAAGACAGTGGAAAGCTGCAGCTTCTTCAACACTCAGACCACCTGCACCTCCCCAAGCATCTCTAGCAAAGCGACACGTTTTCTGTATCAGACCAGATCAATTCCTTCCCTTCTTCCACTGTCAAAGCTGTGTGCCACACAGGCCCAGCAAACCAGAGCTGAGACTCGGGCGGTAAGCAGCTGCCAAGGTCAGACAGGAGGAAGACAGTTAGGGTCATGCCGCCGACCCCGCAGGTGTGCGGCAGGCCTGACACAAGCACACTTCAAAAACAGATTTATAAACATGATTTTAAAATCTGTAACCTGAAACAACGGAAGCGCTTTTAAAATTCTGACCGCTTAAACGTCCCTCAAAGGAAACAATTCTCTCACGAGCTCTACAACACCGACACAGTGAAGGGGAATGGGTCACTGTTAACACGACGTCAGGATCTTGAGCCCGAAATGAACAAGGACGGCAGGAACACTCCCAAAGAGGCGCTTGCTCGTACCTGGGCTCTCACACGCTCCTGAGGGCCGCGTTCATGCCACCCCACACCTGACCTCCCGCTTGTGGCCCACGTCACCCGTGAGGACACAGGAGCCCCCACGTCTCCCGCAGCCAGGAGGCCCGAGGCGCCGCGGCCCACACGTACCATGTCGCGGTGCTCCAGGTCGGCGCCGCACCGCAGCAGCTCCTCCACCACGTGCACGTGGCCTTCCTTGGAGGCCGACAGCAGGGCTGTCCAGTTGTCCTGGAACACACAGGCACAGGCGTTGCCGTTCGAAGCCTAAACTTCATTGTCCAGGGAGGAAGAACAGAGTCCGATTCGCATAGCAAGGGTCATGGGGCCACACAGTGCTCCGGCCGCCCTGCGCTCGTCAGTCACCTGAGGCAGGGGTCTCTGCAGGGCCCCGTGCGAGGAGCGACACCCCGCCCGTTCGGCCGTGCGGTCACGGACTCCCAACCACGTGTTACTTGTTTGTTAAAGGAGAGAAGATGACGACCTAAACCTCAGAGCTGATCCCCGCTGGCAGCCACTGCTGCAGGCTGCGCAGGGCGCAGGGCCAGACCGGCACATTCGCCGGCGATCCCTCGGGATGCGTCCGCAAACTCCGGGACAGAGAAAATCAGTCTCCTCTACCAGAGTGAAGGGTCCTGCCCTACCTTCTACTCGCACGTGTAACTAGATGCACAAGGCCAATGACAATCCTCACTTTGAGTCAGCCACTAACACAGACAGATGGGGCTGTGTACCCTGAAAACTAGTTTCTGGGCAGCAGAAAACAAGCCTCTTGGAACGACACCGTCAGAAGTGATGTGAGCCGGAGCACAGCTGCCTGGCTCTCCCGGTGGAGGCTGGAGACACAGCCTGGGCCGGCGGCCGCGCCGACTCCGCAGCAGGTAATCGTGCGCCCGCCCCTGCCCCCAGAGCGCCCGCGTGATGAAAGCATGACGCGGCCCCCCGCGGCCAGCGGGTCGGGACGCAGCACCGCAGGCTGCCGCAGCCGCTTCCGTGCGAGCTCGATCCCGCCCCCGCCCCGGAGGTGACCCCCGGGGCGCGGCAGACCGCTCCTGACCCCGCTGCCCCTCAGCAGTGTGCCCTGCCCATCTGCCTGCTCTGCCCCCCACTCTCTCTCTGGGGAGTCCTCTCACCACCCCCGCACCTCCGGCCTGTGCCCCAGGTCTGTGTGCAGAAGTAAACACATCTTTGAGAGGAGCCCCTTCACTGAAAGTAAACATTTCTCGGTCTAAACCCTCCACAGAAACCTGAGTTAGCACCTGTGTCGCAAATTTAACATATGTGGAATTACGGTTTGGTTTTGAGTTGCTTCTTAAACACCAGGAAAAGGACAAAGTCGAGGAAAAGGAGGAGACGGACGAGGACATTATTTCAGTGAATACCAAGTCTTCGAGGTTGCAGTTGGCGCCGCTCTTCACCAGCTCTTTCACGATCTCCAGGCTGCCCTGCTCGGCGGCGATCATCAGCGGGGTCTGGCCGCTCTGGGGACAGCAGAGACAGGCCCGTTAAACACGCCACGTGCACCCGGGGGGCCTGAGAGCACAGTTTACAGGAGCCCCTGAGAGCCCTCCCCCTCGGGCGCGCAAGTTTTCAAAGTTAAAGAGAGTGAAACACTGGCAAGCCACAGCACTGGCTGGGTTTTTGACGCTGCGATTTTATTGAAAATCAGTAAACATGAATAATGCTAGGCTCTGAAAAGTAATTAGCACGCTGTATAAAAAAACGCAGGATGTCCTTGGTGGCCAAATTCTCTGACGTAGGATCCGACGGAGAGCACGCTTTTACCTGTGTGCGTGGTACCAGCCAACAGAAGCTGAACAGAAACGGTACACGCGCTGTACATCTGTGTCGTGTCTCCAAGCGCCCCCTGGTAACCTCCTTTACTGAACAAAAGCCTCTTCAGACACCAGAGTGGCCCAGGCCGTGTGCCCAAAGTGCGGCCCAGCGGTGGGCGGGCCCGTCGGCCCTGAGACGCAGGCAGCGGGCTGACAGGCCCCTGAGAGGCCTCCCCTGGGCGGGTGCCGTTCGCACCTCACCATCTCCATGCCACTGGGGCGCGAAACAGGCTCACGCACAAGCTTAAAGTAACAGTGCTCAAGCCGCAAACATACTCAGTATAGGAGAAAAAAATTATACCTAAAACGAATCGATTTCAAATAGACAAGTATATAAACGCCTACTCACCACGTGTCCATCAGTGGGGAGTGGGGGTAGCCAGGGTTTCATAAATGCTAATTTGACATCGTTCCTCTACTAAAACCCCTCAGGGGAGCCCCAGATAAGACCCAAAGTCCTCAGCGGCAACACTAGCCGCGAGTGACGAGACCCCAGCAGCCAGCCAGCCTCGGCGCCCATCTGCCCGCCCTCCCCACCAACTGGCTCGGCCCTCCCGCCACTGACGCCTCACACCAGGGCTCCCCGAGCCCCCCATTTAACGAGCTCCCACCCAAACATCAGCTCCTTCGGGGAGGCCTCAGGAACCCCTCCAGTTTCCCTCCAGGGGCCTGACCCGTGTGTAATCTCGCTCTGGCTCTCGCTTGTGGATTAGCAATGGCTCATTGTCTGTCCCTTTACAGACGCTGAGCTCTGCGAGCGGGGTGCAGTCTGCTACGCTTAACGGCACCCCACTGGGAGACGCTGCCTGCCCCGGGGTTCTCAACTCTCCGTGGAGGGGATGAGCCGTCTAAGAGAATTTTCAGATCTACTAAGAACAAGGCACGAGCGTCAAACGCAAACACCAGCTTAAACAAGCGCCAAAGGACGTCAGGGGCGCTGCAGTGGGTCTCGCATAGCGGCGGCGCCAGGCTGCGGGCGGTCAGCTGCCACTCGCCAGGCTCAGCGGGCTGAGAACCACACACAGACGCTCCAGGCGAGCGTCTCCAGGTGAGAGGTGGCCTTTGCGCATTGAGTCCGACGATGACGCTCACGGTCACCATCTGGAAAGCCGGGCACCCGCTGCTCCTTGTGGACACTGCGGTCCGCGTGACCGTGCCTCCCAGCGGCGACCACAGGATCGTTGCGCCGCTGCCCTCGGCAGCTCTCATAGCTTGGCTGCGAGCATCCTTCTCCCTACTAATCAACCGCACGAACAGGGACCCAGCCACGGCGTCCGTACCACAGAGAAGCGAAAGCTGACTAGCTCTGAGTCCATGGCGCTGAGGAAACGAGCACTTAGACCAGTTTTCAAAACCGTCATTTCCAAGATTCCAAAGTTAGCTGTTCACTTTCTGGGCCGTGGCTATAGGTCAGCTAATTCACAAAAATAGGGGCTTCTAGAGTATGAGAGAAAAAATAACACAGATGGACGTAAATAACTATCACACACTAAAACTAATCTTCGCTAACTGGAAACAAACCTAGTGAAAGACCTGACCAGTCGTAAATTTCCCTCACAGAAACTACTCACTGTCAAGCCGACATCCTGAGCAGGGGTTGCTTGGGGGTGGCACTCAGCGCTGCCACAGGACGGGGAGGGGAAGACGGCTGGAGAGACAACCGCAGCAGCCACCACCTCAGCCTTGGATGTGACAGCTTGTTTGGCGATAAAAGCAAAACCTTAACTAGATCACGCCACTCTGCTGAGACCTGTTCAGCGCTCCAAAGCAATTAATTCTTGGTCAAAACGCCTCTGCGAATCTACACTTTTTGGACTCCAGAAAGATAGAAGACTTTCAGGAAAGGCTGCCATGAAGCAGGAGGATCGTTACCTCATAAATTGACTCTCATAACAAAACTTATTCTACTAATTCTTGCTGAACCAGCGTGGTAACCACAACCATGGAAAATAACTTCAAAACAGTCCTGACAACGTTATGCTTTCACCTCAGAATGAATCACAAGGACGCCTGCCTAAGCCTCACCCTCAGCAACTCCCAAGCCCAGTTCTCCCCAACAAACTCAGCATCATTTGCATAAACCTCACCGCAAGCCAAACACACCAAGTGAGAACCTGTGCCAGCTGCTGTGCCCCAGGGATACCAGCTTCCCCTCCCTCCAAGGCAAAACCAGCCATTACGCAGCACCTCCCTGCAACTCCCACGCCCAGGGGGTACCGCACTTGTGTTTACTTGGACTTAAATAACCGCTGTCCTTCCAAACAGTCACCTTTGGAGGGTACCACGTCTTCCAGCAACAGAGTGAGACTAAACACGCTGAAATGACCTCCAGAGCCTACTTCTAAGCACATCACACATCCCTCTGTTGACATCAGAGTCCCACTTTGTTTCCTTAAACAATGTCCTGGGCCCTCCCTCGTGGCGCAATGGTTGGATGCAGCACAGCAGGCAGGCCCCAGCCACACCTCAGTGCCAGGTCGATCCCAGCCCTGGAGGCGGCCCACAGGCCGCAGCAGACCCCCCTGTCTCCCCGCTGCTCCCCTCAGCAGTGGACTTCGTCTGTCGGCCTGCTCTGCTCCCCGCTCTCTCTGGTGAATCCTCCCACCGCCCACACCTCTACCCTGCCCCTCGGTTCTGTGTGCGTGAGTAGATAAACCATAAAAAAAAAAGTCCCCCAGCCTAACACTATCCCCTGGTAACAAGGAAAGCTGGAGCGATGTTTTGTTTTCTAAATTGAAGCAAAAGCCCCCCACTAACTCTGTGACAGGGACAGCTTTGCCATCACTGAGAACAGTCACAGGTGCGCCTCTAGTCTACAGAGAAAGCAGGAAGAGAAGAAGGAAACTAGCATTTATTGATCGCTGCTGATCATACGCTAAACTCAGTATTGTTTTATTTTATGGATGGAGTACTTAAGAGACCTTTTCAAAACTGGTAACCAGAACATTTTCACACGAAGTGGCGAACCACTATCCTTCTAAGGACAAAAGAGAGAAGAAACTCCAAACGACTTTTTCAAATCGATTTTATCAGAAGCTGTAAAAGAAAAAGGCAAACAGGGTTATTCTAAAATTCCAATGAAGTTGGTACACTGAGAAGCTAGGTGTAAACGTGAATAACGAAATAACGAAACGCGTTTAGTTTCACCCTGTGGCTGGAAGACGTGGTTCCCTCCACGCCTCAGGCACGGAGCCCAAGCTTTATACCAAGCAGGGTGCGTCATGGGAATAAAAGTGATGTAAACTTACGCTTATAGCGCGTTCATTATGCCCAAAGAAATCTTCATGAGGTAAAATTTACCTTTTTAAACGGCAATCATTGTATTATCCAAATATGCTAATGCGAGGGGAGCTCAAGAGACCGGCGTGGACTGAGCACGAAGCCCGCGACCGGTGCTCCCTCGGGTGCCAATCAAGTAAAGGCCCGGCCACGTTCACAGGCAGGCACCCCGGGAGGGTACAAGGGCCAGACTCTTCCACCTCCCTTCTGGAGAGACCTCCGCGGTGCTGCAACACTGGGCCTGTCCGCTGGCAGGACTGCTAGGCAGACCTGACGCCCACCGCCTCCGAATGGCCGCTGACCCTCTCCGGGCCCAGGGCGAGGCCCTCTGCACAGAGCCGCTCGCCTATGCCCAGCGTCTCGGAGGGCTGAGGCACGCCCGCCTCGCGTGCTGGCGCTGCTGCCCCAGGCTGACCAGGCGGCCTTCGGACTGCCGGCGCGGACTCCTGTGAACAGGGAGCGGTACGGGGGCAGACCTTCCACCTTCCAGACCTCGCCTGGCCTCTTCAAACCAGCGCCGGCCTTCGCTCTGCCCCGGCCCCTGGCACCGCGCCCCCCCGCCCCCCCACTGCGCTCTGCGCCGGGGCCTCAGCCCTCCGCAATGGCAGCTGGACAGGACCCGAACCATGACATTCTGCACCCCCACCCCGGACCTGCGCGTTCCCGCAGATAAAACAACAAACTCTGTAAGCAATATTTTTATAACAATAAGTGACATCCAGTCAGAGGTGTGTAATTATAAAGTACCTCCTGTCTTGATTAAACAACCTCGGTTTATAACAATTACTGACTATCCAGACATAAAAGGGTGGAAAGCTGTTAACTAACCGAAATATATTTTGTTTAATACTGAAAACATAGTCAGTCTGTATCACCGGTGAATGTACTCCTCAGAATCAAAGAGCGGCAGGAGAGGACGGATGACAGTTTGTTCGAAGTCAAACAGAACAGGTTTGCGTCTGACCAGAGAGCACCTTAGAGCCCAGAGGGTCGGAATCGCAAACCTGGAAATCAAGGTAAGTGATACTTGGTGGAGTTGCTGCGCTAGGATATGCATCAGGACTACACAGATACTCAACAGAAGTATCAGCTATGTTATTGCAAGGATATAATTTTTGCATCAAGATGGCCTTTGTGACGGTTAACATTACAGAAAGCAGGTGCCCGCGGTCAAACGAACAATAGGAAAGTCACGATTGTTGATGCAGCAACTTCTGAAACTTTTTATTTGTAAACGCGGTGTTCACAGCAACTCTATTCACAAACGCACGGGAGGAAACAACCCAAATGTCACTGAGGATAAATGGGAAAAAAAAGATGGTGCACACACAGGGATACACGGGGCGCGCAGGAACACACGGGGTGCACAGGAACACATGGGTACAAAAGGAATACGGGGCACTCAGGAACAGCACCAGGCACTGAGCTTTGAAAAGGAAGGAAACCCTGCTGCAGGCTCCCAGGCAGACACACCTTGAAGCTACTGTGCAAGTGAACGAGGCAGTCAGAGAAACGTGATTCCATTATTGGGGTACCAGAGCAGTCAAGGTCTCAGACACAAAAGGGCGGTTGCAGGGCTGGGGGCAGAGAGGGGGAGGTGTGAAACAGACGTGAGAAAGCTTTGGAGTGCTGCACAGAGTTACTTGGTACCGCCGGAGCGCGCACTTAAAAATGCTAATAGAGTAAATCCTAGGTGAGGTACTTCTTCTCCACAATAAAAAAGGTATAAACAACACTCACCTCGTCGACACACACAGATACCTACATCTGTACATGTATACACATACGTGAACAAATACATACCTTGCCACCTAGATTTTCAAATAAAAAGTTCACTGCTACCTAAGATATTGCCGTCGGCTATTCGTGCTAAAATAACACCAACATTTCACTTATTTGTATTGCTGAACAGAAATATCTATAGAAGCTAATGAAAATTATAAATCTTTCCTATCATCTTACGAATCAGAGCACCTGCCCTATATTTAACTGTTTCTAAAAATGCAGCCTCGGAGACCTGCAGTGCGTCAATGGACGACTCGGGAAGACATCAGTGGCTCCATGAGGGAAATGATTCTGTCCAACTCTTCTAGGAAGACTGTGTGGAGAAGCTTTCTAAAGCTTCCCAGGAAAACGTCAGATTTTAACAGTCAAACTTCCTGAGAACTAAGTATTCGGCTGGGAAAAAATCTTGACTCTAAGCAAGCCCAGCGCATTCCCCAAAGGTGCACGCTTAACTCCAAGGCACCTGACCAGGCCCCCTCGGGACAGGGTGACCGCGAACTCGCGCTTTGTCCCGCCCAGAGCCTGGCGGCAGCTGGAGGCCCCTGAGGCCGCAGGCGCAGTCTTTGTAGAGAGCTCCGTGGCAGACGCTCGGTCTTACCTCATTTCTCTCATCTACATCTTTGCATTTTTCAAGAAGAGCTTTCAGGGCAGGAATATTCTCTTCTTCTACGTAATTTATCACACTCTGTGATATGAGAACTGACATTTTCACAGAAAGCGGTAATTCTCTTGACTCCAACACCTGTGAAAAACAAATTAGATACACATAGTTTATGATCAGGAAAGAAAGGCGAAGTCCCAGCGCGCCCCGACCCGAAGCCGGCAGCGCGCACGTTTCTCAGCAGCAACAGGTCGCGTAACCCAGTTTTCAGAAAGCCTACCCCTTTTTCCCCAACATCCAGCTCAACAATCTGAACCCCAAACCCCAGCTGTCCCTCTAGGCCGCCTCCTTTTCACACCCCCAAGTACAAGAAGGCCTGCGGTGCGCTCCCGTCACTCCTCCCAGGTCCGAGCCTCGGGTTACCCTTGCTTCACCTCACTGTCCTCCAGTCACTAGCAAATTCTGTTGACTCCACCTGTAAAGACACACCACGCGACTGCTGCCCGCCGCCGGCCCAGCCAGCCAGGCCTGCCCTCGCCACCCTGCCGGCCCCTCGACTTCCTTTTGCTTGGCCAGCGTCTCGGCCCGCGGCCCCGCAGCCCTCCTCAGAGCGGCAGCTGAATCGGAGCCCTTAAACTGCAAGAAGCACAGAAACATGTCGGGCCAGCAGCAGCAGGTGCGCCCCCCCCCCCCAGAGTGTCCCACGCCGGGAATCTGGGTCTCTAGGCTCCAGGCAGCCGCGCTGCGGAGGGCAGGCCATGCGGCCACATGGCGAGGGCGCGGCCAGGGGCTTGCTCAGCCTCGGCGGCTTCTGAAGCATCACGGTAAAATGAGATTTTGCCTCCGCGGAGGGGACCCTCGGCGACAGCACTCACCCCTGCCCTCTCCCACGCACCCCTCGGCCACATCACTCTGCCTTGGGGCCCCTGAGGGTGTCCTCCGCAGGCAGGCAGGGCTCCCTGTCTCACCACCCCGGGAAAGTCTAGCCCGGCCCGTGAGCCCCTCCCAGCCCCTGCCCTGCCCCAGGTCCTCACGCCGCTCCTCACCCTCAGAGACACACAACTGTCCTGCCGCGCTACCCTGGCGGAGGACGCACTCCGCGAGGGCACAGCCTTTGCTTCACGCAGGTAGACAGGCGCACAGAAATACGCCTCGCTGCTGCCCGCACTAATGCTGGCGCGGAGGCAGTCAGCCTAATGTAACGCCAGAATGCAGAAGTCTGCTCTGCTCAGCGAAAACTGCGCGTGACCGGTGGCCCTTCCTCCCCAGCCCCCACCAGGACAGCACGTCAGCGGCAGCCTGGGTCGTGCCCGCGTCCACTGGAAGCACGTGGCTCGTCTGCTGAGCCACTGCAGGAGGGGCCGGCTGGGCCGGCTCACCGCACTGACTGCAAGGCCAGACGCAGACGTAAGTTCTAAGCTGACAAGAATCAGAGGCGTGGCCTCTGGGTTGATGCTCTAATGAGGTGAGGCTCTGGGGGCACTGAGGGACAGGATGGAGCAGGCCTTTGGGGGCCAGAAGACAGAAACAACTGCACACTGTAAGCCTGTTTATGTGACATTCTGGAGAAGGAGAATGCCAGGAACAGAAAACAGGCCAGGCGCTGTCAGGGTCTGGGGAACAGGTGGCCAGAAACGGGGCGAGGGACCCCGGCAAGCTCCCGGACCCTGCCTGTGGTGCTGACGCCCAGCTGTGCACACAGAGTGGCAGCAAGATCGGGGCTGCACCCTCTGTGGCACGAAGCTCACCCCCAAAGCTTGCAAACAATGTAATAAGTTGACAGCACCTTCCGGTATATTCGAGATGCCTTCACCGAAAGGCCCGTGGCCGGCCACCGCGGGCCTCCTCTGCTCACCCGTGCCCCTGAAACGAGCCCTCCGAATGGACTCTCCTGCCCTACACAAACACCCTAGCCCCAACCCCGTGGCGCCGGCAACGAGCTGGCCAGCGGGAGACAGAAAGCGCATCGTGAAGTGTTGGCACGGCACCTTACAGGTTAGCATAGCTTTCACTGCTATGCTATCATTTAATTTTCCATCAACTTTATTAAGGAAATGTTACTTTTCATTTTCTGGGTCAGAAACAGGTCTCATGTATAGGGAGCTGGCCCAGCATACTTCAAAAAACAGAGGTAGCAACTCGGTAACTCCACGCTCCCGATGGTCACGAGGAGTGCCAGTAAACTCGAAGTCCTGTAGCATTCCGAAGGCAAGTTCCCACTCAGGAGAGCGCAGCGGCTCACTGTGTCGCTCCCTGAAGAATGGTCCCGACAGGTGCGTCGTGAAAGAAGCGCGCAGAAGCGCGCACCAGGCCGAAGGAAAGGCAGACGGTGTTACCCAGCGACCGCGCCGCGTGTGCCGGGGGGCAGGAGGAAGTCGCGTGGGTGGAATGTTCAACAGTGAGCGGTAACTGCTGCAAGACTAAGGGGTCTCTCCTCCACGCTCGTGTCCCCAGAACCTAGCACTGTCAAGAGCAGGCGGAAACGGGCCCTCCCTGGTGGCACAACGGGTTGGGACGCAGCACTGCCAGCTGGCCGCAGCCGCCTCAGTGCCAGTTCGAGCCCCGCCTGCCCTGGAGGTGACCCCCCCGGGCGCGGCCAACCTCTCCTGACCGGCCGCTGCTCCCTCAGCAGTGGACTTCGTCGATCTGCCTGTTCAGCTCCCCGCTCTGTCTGTGGTGCAGCCTCTCACCCCCCTGCACCTCTGGCCTGTACCCCAGTCCTGTATGCATCAATAAATAAATCTTAAAAGAAAAAAAAGAAGGACAAGTGGAAACATCCCAGCTAACCAAGGCCGGGAACGGGAAGGTGCACTCAGGATGCACCTGGGCGCGGCCCTCAGCGCCCACTGCCCTCCCCAGCCTCCTTCTCTGCCGCAGGCCTCAGCGGGGCGTGGGCACATGACCTTGACATGTCCAGCTTGAAAGGCTAGTGGGGCCGGCCGAAGGCCACTTTCTCGACGTGGAAACTGACACAGTGGCCACAAGCAACTGCAGAGAAACGGGGTTCAAGACAGCGCAGAGGAACAGCTCCCCATAGGTGGGGGCATAAACGTGCCCCCAGGAGTGCAGCAGGTGGGAGCCTGAGGTCCCCCTTCCTTGCTGTCATTCGGCTGAGCATCTACTTGCCCCAGAAACTCTGCTCCTTGCCTTCTAAGCAGCCCTAACTAAGCGACAGAGTAAACAGGCTGTTCTTGGGCAGCAGAAGAGGCACCGCCTCCGTGGCTCCAGGGAGAGGAAGCCCCGGCAGCCTAGGCTCAGACCAGAGGCGCACGGAGGTACACCCACAGGCCCCAGGCGGGAGAAATCAGCGGCACAACCTGGCACTTTGACCTAACCAGATACTCAGAATGGAGAATCCTGCTATAGAAGGAAAAAAACTGGAGATGAAAGAACAGGCCCCCAGACGCTATACAGGGAAGGACCCCAAAACACCCTACAGTCAGGACCCCCAGGCGGGCACAAGCACTAGAAGAGCTGCCTCACAAGGAACAGGGCGAGCAGAGGGGAAAGCCTCTCCCCTGCTTTATCACCCCTCCCTCGCCACCAAGTCTGGGTGAATGTGGGGTGCTTTAGCCAGCCGAAGTGAGGTGCTCCAGAAAGGCTGGCTTGGGGACTCCATCCAGTAGTTGGGGAAAACGGATCTGGAAATCATGTCTACACAGAGGCGCACAGGCGGCGGATCGCCCGCGCGTCCCGGGGAAGCCTGTGTGCTAGCGGCTACTCCCCTGCCCAGACCCGGGCAGCGGTGGGGACGCGGCACCTGCCCGGAATGGTGCGATGTCCGCGCCCTGCCTGCTGCCAGAGCCAGGGAACAAAGCGCACAGCCCGCTGCGGCGCTCCTACGCCCAGCTCGCGTCAGAGCGCGGCGGCGCCTTAGACAACCGCAGGTCTGGCCCCGCGCTGTCCAGCGTGGTCGGGACAAACCGAGGGCGAAGCCCCCCCGCCAGGCACCGGGCTGACTCCCGGCCACACCCAGGCCGGACCGCGGAACCAGGCGGGTCCGGCCCCTGGCACCGGCGCCCCCAGCGGCGAGCCGGTGCTCGGCAAATAGCTGCACCGACGCAGCCCCGGCTCCCGACCCTCCCACGGCACAAAGCAGCTTGAACCGAGAGGCTGCAGCGCGGCCGCCCCCAGCCTGGAAGCGCTGGGCTCGGCGGCCCGCCGGCG